GCAGGGCAAGGTGGGTCGAACCGTCGCCTCTCGAAGCGCACCTGGTGGCTCTCGATTGCGCCCGGCAGGGGTCAGCGACCGGGAGAGAGGGGAGGGAATCAATGTCCGGGGAGAGGTGAACGACCCCGGGACGTTTGGAGGGGACTAGCGAGAGCCGGGCTGCGGACGTCCCATCGTAGCGATCTCGAGCAGTCCCTCACGTAGGAAGCTGACAGGTGAAACCATGTACGTGAGGGCTGTATCAGGTCCAGGTTAGCGCGACCTCTCTGAGGTAATTGAATGAGAATGCCCTAACGTCGTTGTTCAGTTCACAGCGCCGTACGTTCTTCGGTTCGGTGTATTAATCAGAGCTCACATCAGAGCGCATAGGTCGTTGATTTGGTTGTGTCACGTTTTGTGTGGGTCCATGGTTGTTATGAGGTGGAAAACTTTTTGGATGTGCGTTGTAGTCATTTATAATTATACTACGCATCTTTACCACTGATCCGCCACTCGGCTCTCTGGATATCCCCTTGTGTATGCAACGCGAAATGCATGCCCTGCATTGTCATGGACGTTTAGTCCGTGTTCCCTGGCCAGGTCAGCTGAAGTGATGTTTAGTTTCATTACTCAGAAGGCCGTACTGGTGCTTTGAATCCCGTTCTAGGTGTTCGAGATTGTCTGCAAAAATCGGACGGGCGAAGAGAATTTCATTTCCTGTCTACGAAAGGCGTTGCATAATAGGTACCAGGATCGGACGGTGGGTACGTACCGCCTGTACCTTGCGAACAGAATGTAACACTCGAATGGTGCTGATCCTGCTAAGAGATCATAGAGCGTACATACTGATGACAATCATTGGGCCATGTTGTTGCTCGGTCTCAAAATGTGACGACGCGGTCGACAGCAGCTGTGGAACCTTGCCACCTATTGGAGTATTGCATGTGGTGCGCGGGTGCCAGTGGCCTCCAGCGATTACGAGATCGCTGAAACTGAACGATTACGAGATCAGTCCATTCTTTCCAGCTGTTTGTTTATCTCTGCGTGCCCCCACCACTTGCTTCCGCACATAATACATTTGTTAAAAAGACGCTGATGGTGAAGATAAAGACTTTCATAAACCATCATATTCTTGCGACCTATGAAGTATGGTACGTAAAAGCGGAACGTAGCCCAAACCATACTATGCCTGGACGAAAGCCAAATGAAATGAATGGTCGTATGTTTCATGCGTCACAAAAAGCAATGCGACAAACTTCATTCCCCTGAACTCTCTGCATATAACTCCGCCCGTCCGCTGACTTTGTGATATACTGTCCTAATGCCCGCTTTTTGACACCTGGACATAGCGCGCCCAGCCCGCTGAGCTGACCCTGTGGTATACTGTCCTAATGCCCGGCTGCTGACACCTGGACGTAGCGCGCCCAGCCCGCTGAGCTGACCCTGTGGTATACTGTCCTAATGCCCGCCTTTTGACACCTGGACATAGCGTAACGCCCGCCTGCTGACACCTGGATACACGCGCGCCCAGCTCGTTGAGCTGACCCTGTGGTTTACTGTCATAATGTCCGCCTGCTGACGCCTGGAAATAGCGCGCCCAGCTCGCTGAGCTGACCCTGTGGTATACTGTCATAATGTCCGCTTGCTGACACCTGGAAACAGCGCGCCCAGCTCGTTGAGCTGACCCTGTGGTATACTGTCGTAATGCCCGCCTTTTGACATCTGGACATACGCGCGCCCAACTCGCTGAGCGTGTGGTATACTGTCGTAATGCCCGCCTGCTGACGCCTGGACATAGCGCGCCCAGCTCACTGAGCCCGAAGTTTACCATGACTCATCCCCGCTCGATGACCCTAGCGTGTAATAACTCGCTTGGCCCGCCGGTCGACCCCTCGGCATACCACTAACACATGCCGCCGGGGACGCGCGTCGGCAGCCATGGGCGGCGTGTTCCGGATTGAAGCCGGCAAGGCTCGCGTGCACGTGATGCCCGAGTTCAGCGAGACGCCGCTGCAGTGTGACAGCGAGGTGGCCAACTGGCTGCAGTTCTACGAGGTGTCGTCGCCCCTCGTCTGCCTCACCAGCTTCCTCTCGTCCGACCCGGTGAGCGCTGGCCGCCAGCTGGACGGCCCGGGGAAGGTCGCGTGGGCCCACTGGCGGTCTGACCGCCCATTCTCAGAGTGAGGCGGCACCAGTCCGTCTCCGTTTTTGGATGTGTGGCTGATTCGAAGTCCTGGTGCAGGTGTTGCCATACGTCAGCTGGCAGGACAACAGGCTTATGGCCGTCGGTCGAACCAACAAACTCAGTCATCTTAACGATACGCGACCGGTTATGAAGCACTGCAGCAACGATCGCACAGCGTGGCAATATGATATGGATGACTGGAAAAGCTGCCCTCGGCATGTGGCAATGCATGCATTGAATGTTGTCATGTAAGCGCGGTGTGCCACCGTATTTACAAGTCTGACAGAGCACTCTCGCGTGCTGTCAGCCGGACCCTGACCCGAGCTGACCCGACCTGGCCGCAGGGGCTCGACTTCCGGCTGGAGCACACACACTGCTTCAGCGCGCATGGAGAGGGCGGCCACTACCACTGCGACACGACCGCGGACAAGGTGCACTACCGCGCCTACCTGAACCTGGCCGAACGGGCGTACCGCGTGGATGCGCCGGCGGCCACGCACCAGATCGGCCGTAACTAACTACCGTTGAGCGCGACCGGGACGGATGGGACATTACGGGGCAGGACACAGGACTCAGGACACAGGACACAGGACACAGGACACAGGACATAACACAGCACACAGGACAGAACACAGTACAAAGGACAGGACAAAACAGGACAGGACAGGACAGGACAGGACAGGACAAGACAGGACAGGACAGGGCAGTACGGGACAGGACAGGACAATACAGGACAGGACAGGACAGGACAGGACAGGACAGGACAGGATAGGATAGGATAGGATAGGACAGGACAGGAAAGATCAGGACAGGACATGACATGACATGCCATGCCATGACAGGACAGGACAGGACAAGACAGGGCGGGTCAGGACAGGACAGGACAGGACAGGACAGGACAGGACAGGACAGGACAGGACAGTGCGCGTCGCTCCGCTACGCTCTGCGCCAGACCGGACGGCCACGGAGAGCGGTTAGGCTGTTACCGGCAGCTCGGATCGAGGACAGCCGCGGCGCCGGCCGCACCGGAGGCAGCGGCGCCTACGTGCGTGAACGGCGCCCAGGGACACGCTGCGGACAGTCAGTGGGGTCTGGACCAGCGAGGGCGGGCGTGCTGGGAGCGGCCGAGCGCCTGCTGTGCCAGCGACTGATGGCTGCGCTGGATAAAACCCCCTACTGTTTACACGGTGTTACCGCGGTAGTTGGCTTCGGATTGCTCGAGGAATGTGACGATGTGGCATGGTGTCGCAAGTCCAATCCATCATAGTTGCAGGTTATATGTCACGCCATTCCAGCGCCGAGGCAACATCTTCCTCTGCCAGCCATTGCGGGGGCGTTCAACATCGCATGTTTCTTGCTTGTTAAACATGCCGACGTTATTAATAAAACAGTGACGTTGAGCTGTATGTGCAGGTCATAGCCCATTTTTGGATACAGTTGCAATTAATTTCGCAGGCGGGAAGCGGTCACCGGAATCTGTACACCAGATCTTCACAATGCGTCCAGGAATCCGAACAGCAGCACGTCGCGACGTTCGTGTTGGAATGTGCTGTAACAGCTGATGGCAGCAGACAGCCCATTATAGCATGTACTATCGATCAGGTTTAAACATTCCGACTGAATAGTGGAAGCGCACAGTAAGCTTGTTAAACGGCTTTAACCACGCTATAACCTTGATACTTCAACGTACATACCAAGGCGCTGGCGGCCTCCATTTTCTTTTGTCAGTAGCGCAACAGATCGTGCTCACATTCATCCTACCGTACCTTTCATTAGCCCCACTTCTAAAGCGACAACAAAATCAATGTGAAAATCAATGTGGCAATATGACAATCGATCGATCGACAACCTCGAGGTCAGCAATGGGAACGAAGTGGTCACCCGGCAGACATGACCGTGGTAATTGCACTTTTTTAAAGAAGAAAATTGCTGTATGACTTCTGTTCATTTACCCAGGGACATCTTGTTCTCCATACAAGCAACAGTCATTTCAACATGTCGCCGAGATTTGTAAGGGGGGGGGGGGGGGCGGGTAAACCACGTCTTTCACCTGCAGGCGATCAAAAAGGGGCGAAACTGTGTCGCTTATTTACAATATTATTCACCGGGATCACTGACAATGATTGTACTTGCACATTCAATCATCACCAAGTTAAAGACATTTCTAATTAGAAAATCATGTTTATTAAAAATTTGGACGAGAACTGTAAAGAACACGGACCCTGTATTTCACCATGACGCTACAGCTTTGGGAAAGGGGCGCTAAGAACAGGCTGACGAGGGGCGCCACTATAAGAACGCTTGTGTCCCGTGTATGCCCGAGAGGTGACAGCGCAGATTAGCCACCTCACACCGCAGCACCATGTGCGCAGAGTTGAATATCATCCCACCTCATAATGCGCGCATGTTTTGCTTCAACCACCGACAAGCGGCAGCATACAAAACGCACCTAAGCCCGCCGTAACCGCTGCATGGCCACGTTGTCAGCTCTGGGAAAGTCGGCCCGAGGAGTGGCGGCGTTCACCGAAGCCGTGTCGTTACAGAAAACAGGGTCATCGGTATCAATGGTCTAGCAAGCTCAAGGCTCCCGATTTATACAGAAAACATCGGTGTAAACGTTTCGTTACTCCCGTTATATTCCGAGCGTGATTTCAAGCGCAGCAGTCTGCGTCAGCGGCATCGTCGCACGGAAGTGATGCGGCAACACCGTGGCGTCAGACATGATCACCCATGGGCTAATGCAATCTTGGTATTCTTCAAGATCCGGCACGAGGCATGGACATGTGCCCACGCCCCTGGGACGACGGCAGACCCGAATCAGCGCATGCCCTGATGCCGGCTGTGGGCCGCCGCGTCTTCAGTCCGCTCCGCCGTCCGATGGGACAATCGAATCAGCGCATGCCCCTGATGCCGGCTGTGGGCCGCCGCGTCTTCGGTCCACTCCGCCGTCCGATGGGTCAACGACTGGCGGCGCCGGCCCTCTCAGGGACACATTCCGAACGCAGACCCGGCCTTGGCCTTGGCAGACTGGCCGCCTCCAGTCGCCTTCGGACCCATGATCACAGCGGCGATACGCGGGTGGGTTCCCCTCGCCGCCAGTCTTGGCCAGGGCTACCGCTCCCCGATCATGACACACATGTTACGAAAACTGGCACGACTAGTACAAAAATAACGAGGCGATTCTGTGCGCAACGATTGCAACACCCCGATCGCCGCTGACACGCGGCGGGATGGGCACTGGCCAGTACAACATATCGCACGCATCACGCGTGAAAGCTGACCCGCGGCTCTTCATCACGATGAACTTCCGCGAGAACCCGACGGTGCCGATTTGAAGGACGACAGGTAGTATTCGCACCGGTCTCAATGCCACGGCTATGCGCCTCTGGATCCGTCAATCACTGTCAACGGCCGCCGAACGGACGCGGTCCGCGTCCGCTGCAGCAAGCCGTAGTGCGGCCGCCGCTCGCCAGGCGGCGCTACGAGCGGAAGACGTGCACCACGCGGACGACGTACTTGCGGCAGATTGGGCACTCGGCCATCTGCTTGCCGCAGGCGGTGCAGGTGGCCATGTGGCCGCACTCGAGCATGACGCAGTCGACCAGCGCGTCCATGCAGACCTTGCAGATGTCATGTTCGGGCGCCGACGCCAGCGCTGCGGCGGCCGAGGCGGAGGTCAGGTCGGGGTCGTGTGGCAGCTACACATGCGACAGGGTCGCAGCGGCATGGCCGAGCGGACAGAACTCAGTAGGGTAAAGCTGGCATTGGGCTCAATGACACGGGGATATGTCTTGCAATTAAATTCCTAGCCCACCTGTCTCCTGTCGTTGACCAGTGCCAAACAAGCACGGATATATTGCTGAAGTGCATGCAAATGCGTTCTAGACAATCCCCAAATGCCACGAGGCGTCGAACAAGGGCTGTACACGAAAGTGGAATAGCGAATGGTTTCCGCCTTTCCATAAAGCCAGCGGCCCTTCCGCCCCGCCGAGTTCAGCCGCACCAGAAAAGTGATCGAAGTCGCCCCCCCCCCCCCCAAACCATCCCCTGCCAGGAGTACTGCACCCAACCCAGCGCGGCACTCTCCCCTCTCCCCGGCCTCCAACCAAGTCCCAGAAGAGCTCAAGCGTGACTGCCGACAAATGAGGGAGAGACTGACCTTATCAAACCGATCTCAAGTAGCCTAACCAAAGAGGAGTAGCCGAAGAAACCTGGCACGTGCCGATACCACGCGAACTATCTCCGCCAGTCGCCCAAAGAACAGCACTGGCAGCGTCAGGAATATCCCAGTCTTTCCGCCAAACCGCGCCCGGCCGCCGGTCCCCGCCATTCCCACACACTGCACGCCTCGACAGCGAGGGAGTGCATGGCGACATCTACCGGCGCCAGTGGCGGACCGCCGTCAGCGAAGGCGACGGCGGGAAGAGCTTGTACACAGCCCGCCGCCGCGGCGCGCCACCCACCGTCTCTGTTGCGGCGCGTCTCACGCCAGAGCAGGCGGACGCGGCGCAGCAGCTCCTCCTTCTCGATGACGCCGTGAAACTCGGTGCGCCGGTGCTGCAGCAGCTGCTTGCACTGTCGCACCGTCAGCCGTGCGATCAGGTCCTCCGACGGCAGCTCGGCCACGTCCGTCAGCGTCGACAGGTCCTGACACAGCAGGGCGCGTCACCGACACAGCTGGCGCGCGGCACGGCACGGCACAGCACAGCACCGACGCACGCGAGGGGGTGCCCGCAGCCGACATGGGACGACAGCAGGCAGGGGACAGCCGCCTCACAGGAGTGCGAGCCGGGAACAGACGTCTCCTCCGTTACGAAGCACGTGCGGAACGGGAGTAGAGCGCTCATACACAGGCAAAGGGCGACACGCTTCTGCGTGATTCCGCGTGACCGTGTTGGCGGACAGCTGAACCCCGTTCGGAAGCCAGCGCCACGCACGACTTGGTTACGCAACACCGAAAACTGAGTTTGAGGTCACGAATAATGGGGTAATACGCCTGTTGCTACGTTTTCACGAAGGACCCTGACGGATACCTCACGAAAAATACTAGGTTTCAAGTATGACGATAATCACCTCTCTCCAAGCTCGGCCCTGTAGTTTCACGCGACCCGCCGTGTCATTGGTAGATCAGATTGTCGGCAGCGGGAGCTAAACCCTCGTAGATAAGCTCTGCATGGGAGAAATCCCGACAGCGGCCACTCGTGACGCCCGCGAACCACGGCAGCGCCCACTCAAGGTCTCCGCGAACCCTGGCGGCGCCCACTCACAATCTCAGCATCGGGAGCCGTCACGTTGTCCTGCCGCTGCAGCCGCTCCGCCTCCGGCTCCACGTCCGTCGACTCCGCCGCTGGCTCGTCCAGGTCGTCGACGACGACGATCTCTTCCTCCGGCGCGTCATCCCCGTCGGGCGAGACGTCGTCGATGTCGACGAACGCCCGGTTGGCGACGCCGTCGTCACTCTCCGGCGAGTGTCCGCCGTTCCGCCCGGCCAGGTCGGGCTCGGCCGGACTGCCGAGCGGTGGCACCTGCACGTCGTCGTCGTCTTCGGGCTCCTCTGACAGGCGCTGTAGGCTGCGGCGGCTCGTCTGACCCGCGTCGCGAATCGGCCGACGACTCCGAGTCGGCGGCGAGCGAGGGCTGCTTGGCGAGCGGCGCCGGCTCGGCCTCGTCCATCGGGTGCACTCGGATGGAGTCGTACGGTGAGACGCGGATCGAGCCGTGCGGCCGCGGCCGGCGCGGCGCGACGGGCGGCGGCGTGGCCGGCGGCGGCGTGGCCGGCACCGGCGCGGCCGGTGGCGGCGCCGGCTCCGACCGCCCACCCATCCGGTCGCACAGCAGGATCTTGTCCACCAGATCCGACTTCTCTGCAACATCAGGACATCAGGGTCACGCCGCGGACAGCGCCAGCACGCGGACCCGGCCGCCAGGAAGGCGGCGGCCCTCCGCGAACGGGTCCCAAAGCCATACGGTGAACGGTGGGCGCAAGGACAGCAGTCGACTGAGCCGCGCCCCCCAGCTGGGAGCCGCACCCACCACAGTCGCAGCACCGCCACGGCACGCCGCACCACCGCATCCGGCCGCGGTCCGGCGGCCGGACCAGGGCGCGGTCGCTGCCGTCGGCGCCCCGGCCGGCCCGGACGGCGGTGTATTTGCCCCATGCCCCGGCGGGATGTCCCGGCCGTCGCGGCCGCCGGCCCGGTCCCCAGCCCGACCGCCGATCGGCCGCACATCCGGCAATCAATGAGTTGCCATGGGGATATCGACGGTGGCGGCCGGCCGTCTCGGACCGGCATTGACCTGTGCGCGCCGTCAGGAGGTAAACAGGTGATAGTCTCGCCCGCCGCGGCGGCGACGCCCCACCTCTCGACACGTGCCGTTTTGGAGCCGCCACCGGGCCTCGACTGATCAATACGAAAAGACGACTGACAAATAGACTGATGGACGGCGCGGCTATAACATCGCACACTGGATTAAGACCAGGCCTCGTTTTTGGCTAAGCTGTCATCTGGATTGATTGCCTGCTAATGGTTCCGTTTTGATCGCATGTGCTGTACATAATGAGCGAGCATCAACATAAATGACGCTGTGACTGATGTTTCATTGTGAGCTCACCACTCAATGGTTCGCCCAACACAATGCGTACACGCCCACCGTGGCATTATAGGAAGCCGAATGAAGGCTCCTGTTCACGCGGCCATTCATAGCTCTCGACCACAAGACACAAATAAAAAAATCGCGTGTTGGGCCTGATAATCAGCGTCGCGTAAAGCAGATCGTACCATCTGCTCCGCAACGATGGCGGAGTAGCTCAAATGCAAGAATCCTCTGGCATCCTTCTAATCTTAACATGATATTAATCGCGATATTTGGAGAAGAAGTGGTGAAATTAAAAGATCTATTAAAAGTAACGCTCCGCATTTGAAAATATGAAAGAAAACATCAGATATGATGAAGTAAGCTAACTTATTTACCATTGGTATCCTTTTAAGTGGAAAGGAATACTCCAAACAGCACAATGTCTCTGTTTAGTACATATGCCCCTCAATACATTATTGCTTGCTTACGTCGTCAAGCCTTGCAAAACATTGATTGAGAGCAAATTGGCGGCCGAACCATATCTCGAAATCATGCTCACGAACACCAGCTATGAACGAATCGATAAATACTTGTTTATCTCGCTTGCCGCATGGCTAATGGAATGACAGGATTCAAATGACGTTATTATAGCGTCATAGATGCCTGGATGACCCTGAAATAGTCTTCCCCAAATCGTCTAGAGGGGTATATGTGTCAAGGACAGGGCTGTGAACTGCACCGAATAATATTTATGATGTCTCTTTCTGTTAAAAAAACATACAAATGCGCAACATCCATTTTAAATGCAAAGCCTGGGACGCTAATACGTGGACTGCATAAATTAGGTCCCCACAAAACCAAGTTGGTAAAACAAGTATGGAAAGTATGGAACGTACTAAATCAAGAAATCTTCACCCTACATACATACAAAATGTGGAACAATTAATGAGGTAGTGACGCCTCAACTCAATATCAAACGCTACTTTTGTGGTGAAATTACCATCCGCGATAGAACAATAAGTGCGAAAAAAGCGTGAACAGCTGAAGTTCCTAGATCAGAGCAATAGCCAGCAGGCAAGAAAAGAAAGTAGGCAGAAAGGTCATCTCACATTTCTGACAGCTAAACCTTCAGTGCAAAATAAAAACCTGACCAGTGGGAACGCTTCGAAGAAACTTGTCCCACAATGACAACTGTCCTTGGCGTAAAAGAAGGACTGTGGTAGAAATAATCGCTGCAAAATGGCATTCATTATGTACAGAAGCCATTGCGACGAGTAGACTAGCGGCCAATACCAAAACACAGAACCAATAAAAATGGCATAAGAGGCGATAGAACAAAATGTAAGAGGGCGGTGTCAATTACCCCCCCCCCCAAAAAAAAAACACCCACCCACAACCACCACCACTTTGCCAGCGCGGCCGCCGGTAGCGCCGTCGGAGCGAGCCGCCCGGGCGCGCGTGCGACCTCACCACGACAGGTGGCCGACGATACGTTCACGATCTTCATGATGTGCTTCAGGTCGCGCACGGTCATCTGCTGCAGTGTGGAGCGCTCGTAGCGCACGGAGCCGAGCCGGGCGCAGCGCAGGCAGTGCCGGCCGACCGAGCAGCACCGCAACCGCTGCATGCAGGCGGAGCAGCAGACAGACCGGCACATGAGGCAGGTGCGCTGCCGGACACGGGCGAGGGTGCGCGCTCAGTCCCAGCGCCGGCCGTCCACGGCCAGAGGCTCGCAGCCGAGCCACTTGCACACGGCAGAGCACGGTGAAAAATAGGATTATTCGACGCGACAGCTGGGCCGTGGGCCGCGAGTGGACTTAACAATGTGCATGAGCAAAAACCTCTGGTTTTCAGTGAAAAAATAAATGTCACCTAGTCGCAAGATTTTGAGCAACTGCACTTGCCGAGAAAAAATTAAAATCCTTTTGAACCCAACGTACTTGTATCGACCTACCGCACAAAATACAAATATGTAGTAAATGGTGGAATGGGAGATGGAAGTGTAATATGCTACCCATAAAAAATACGTTTCACTGCTGACGCATGATCTAAAAGATATATTCTGGACTCACAAACCATTATCCAGAGGTGCTATGTAACGTCAATCTACCACATGGTTTACCCCAACCTAAATGGCAAAGCCAGCTGTCAGCTGGCCTGAGAGTTCATCTGGCAGTGAGAGAAAATTAAATATTTTATGCGGCACAAAACACCTCTGCAATCTTCATTAAACTAAAAATCTGGAAGTAGCATTGACCATTGAGCTGGAACCAGTATCTGGCTGATATGGAAAAATAGCATGCATAGAACAGGCAAGCTTAATATAAACAGCTGCTGAGACATAAACCTTCCCAATGTATCAAAACTAATAATCTAGAGGGTAAGTGACATCTATTCTAGGCTACTGGAGCCATTTCACGATGGTACTAACCTTTTTCTTCAGCCATGAAAACTTAGAGCTGCAGCTATCACACTGTGACTGTGCTGCAGGCATACTGCTACCCTGAAATACAGAAAAACATCACAAAGAACACAACTTCATTTAGTTAACAGGTGCCCGGGTGGCCGGTTGGGTGAGGGGTCAAATTGACCCCCAGAGATCTCAGGAACTACCAAATTCACAGGGTGTGTTGACCTGTATGTTAACTCCTTCAGACCAAAGTTTGAGATTCCTGGATCATGACCTTTGGGTTAAATATGGTCAAACAAGGCCAACTTCAAGCTTGGCCTCTGAAGGGCTCCTGGAACTTAGGTAACTGTTCTAAACAAGAGGTCACATTCTCATATAGTGACCTTGTTTAACCTTTTGAAAGTCATGCTGACCAAAATCATACAAGACCACTTTAAGTCTGCATTTTGATAAGCAACATAGATTATGCCAGGCAGTATGCTCCTAAAATAAATGTTGACCTGGGTCATTCTGGATCAGTGACCTATTCTGACATTTAGGAATTCTTTGGAAGGTGTATAATATGGTCCCTGTTATCAATAAATTCAAAATGGGCACCAGAAACCACCGCATACAGCAAGCACTAGAGTAATAAAGCAGGTTGATTTTGACCTTAGTCTGACCTTCATAACTGACCTTGGTTCAATGTAATTTATTCATTCAATTGTTGTGTTGCCTAAGAGAGTATCTCAGAGATGTATGGTTTCATCTAACACCCCACTGCTGGATCAGATTCAATGATTCCCTAGAAACTGCCTTCCCAGAGACCATTGCCTGACTTTGGCCTACCAAAGGTCAGTGACCTTATAAGGTACATCTAAATTTTTGATGTCAAATAATCAGCTATTCAATTGCCTATAGCTATGCAAAATTATCGGAGGCATATGCCATTCAATTATGATACACACAAGTTGATGCATTTGGGTACCTTTGGCAGTAAGGGCATGAGCTATAAAATGGGAGACCAGGAGTTAAAACAGGTTGAAGAAGGAAAGGACAGGCTGGTTCTAATTTCTAGGGATTTAGAGGGTGAAAAATGGTGTGGGGCTGCTAAAAGAAGGCACCTGATATGCTGGGTCTAGTTAACAGGGATGTTCATTACAAGGGTATGAATGTTGTCCAAATTGAAATTAGCTTAAGTCAGACCACACCTAGAGTATTGTGTAAAGGCTTAGTCCCCATGCTTCAAAAATATTTAGATAGCCTGAAAAGAGTACAGTGAAAAGCAACCACAATGATAAATGGGAATGATGCTGGGAAAACAGGATTACAGGGAAAGGTAAGGCAAATTAGGCTGCCAAGGTAGATCTACATGGAGCACTAGAAACCAGGCTGAGTCATCAAGGAAAACAGTTTTATTTAGCAACAGGTAGGAGCAGAAAAGTGAAGAGGCATGCCATTTAGTCAATGAGTAGTGGACTTTTGAGATGGGCTGACAGACAAAGTTGTAGGACGTCTCTCTTTAGCAACATTGATTCTAAAGATCTTTGATATCAGATATTTAAATATGTTGATATCCCTCTAATGATCTTATTCATAACTAAATTCATGCAGGTGAGATGGCAAGATTAGTTTTGAAAATGTGTAGGAACCTGAGGTAGACCAACCTTGATGGGCCTGCATGACTCTTTGTTGGCCTAATGTCTTTGTCTTTATTAGAACTCTGTTCCACACCTGGTTGTATCATCATACTCAGTTACACAGTTTAAGTCTAGGCTTGATATACATTGGGGGCATCAGACGACATTCCACATTGGAATTATCCAAATATGGCAGCTTGGTTACTGGACCAGGAGCTTGACGAGACTGGGATCGAGGGGTTGAGTGGCCTTTTATAATTCCTGATGACAATAAGATAAGGTAAGGTGAATTGGGCTGCCAAAGAAATTTGTTGGTCATGCCCCTCCCTGATTGCAAAATCCTGCTTAGTCCACAACTCCTTACCACTGGAAAATAAATACAGTCAATAATGGTGTTTGACACTTAGACATTGCAAGTTGTTCACTATTAGCATCCTTGAAATACTTATGCACAAAATCATACACACAATATTGAATCATGAATATGAGAATATAACATGAACAGCCTGAAACAGCAATCTGGGCCAGGCCGACAAGAAATCCATTCCATATGCTAGATGTTGCTTGGTGTGCAGAACTTGAAGCCTACTGGCAACACTCAAGCTAGGCTATATTGTGTTAAATTTTTCAGATCATTCCTGTTTGAAAAGGTTGAAATGTTTTTGCTTGAAATTAGCTGATATTTATTTGAACTGGTTCCTTGTCCAGCTAAGTAACACTAACCAAATAAACTGTTCTTGCCTATTGAATCAATGCTCTCTTAGGTCAATTCACACTTCCCAAAACAAAAAGCAGTGTCACACTTCAAACTTTTGCACATACAATTGGTCCAGTTGCCTTACTACAGTTGCTTCACAACCTGCCTCCGTAATAACCACAACGTAGGCCATGGGTAGGCATGTACATACTACCAATGAAACATTGTGGGAAAAGGCACCGACTTTTAGGAAGAAGTCTCTGCATATTCTCACTCACCTGCCGTGATTTGCAAAACGAGCTCATCGAGTTACGAAAGGCACGCAGGAGCTTTTCATCCGAGGAAAACAAAACAATATGTCCTCTATCGGCTTCCCTGCTGACAAGTTTAAGGGCCTACTCAGTGCGCCGCCCGCAACACATACTACGCCATCCCCACGCAACGCGATTACACCTAGAATACGATAGTGAATTTAAACAAGGACGGCTTAAGCGCAGTTTATAGTTCACCTTTCGTCCAGCAGGCTCACCGGTGGTATTTATTATCATTCCTCTCAATACATTTTATGCATTTGGCATCGATATGTTCTTAGAAATAACATTTAAAAATCAATAAAAAAGTTTTCGACTTTATTTACAGTCATATCATGACATTTATAGGAAAACATTTTGGCATTGGTGATGATATTATTATGTCTATCACAGCGCCTCTGCTGGAAGAATCTTACACCGCAGTCATCTTTAAAGCCTACCGGAGATTCCGGCTTGGAAAGTTTGTGGAGTTTGCATCGGAGTTCGCGTGTTGTGGTGGTTGAGGTAGGGGCTCGGAGGTGGCGGGTGCAAGCCACTTATACTGGGGTTTGGTGTGTGGTAAGTTAGGGTACTGAATTATGAAAGCATAGATTTTAGCCTCATCGTGGGATGCGGCTCTGCAGCGGTAGAAGGAACTGCCGAATCAATTGTGCCGTGTGCGCGTTGCCGCCTTCGTTAGAAAGTGCCATCCGGTGATTGGTATGAAATATGGAAGATTTTTGTGCACCTATCTGGCTAGATGTAAAATTTTTAACCCAATGCCACTTTTTGGATTCTGAATCATTGTACTTACGTGAATTCCTTGGTCTGTATTTGTATTGGTAGGCAACAAGTATTGTCTGTGGGATCCACACATGCCAATGTCTGTTATTCTAGCTCTGATCTAGTCACATGACAGGTAATTATTTCATGGAAGTGAGAGGATGGAGCAATACAACAAGGGGAATGTGTGGGATGGGCCATGCATATTTACAGGATAGGATAGTAATGTTAACAAGATGAGGATACAAGATATGACACTATGTCATCAAGTTGTAAGCACTTGCTCAACAGGTCATCAGGAATGGGTGGGGTAAAGAACAGATCAAAGGTCAACATTCATGGATAACAAAGTAAATGATGACTCTATGGTCCCCCACTTCATGTTTTTTCACAGTGCTTGCACATAATAGTCTTACCCATGTGGTTTGGCTTCTCTGGATTTCTGTAGTTCATGACACCAGTGATACTAAATCTGCTTGCTGTACATTTTATTGTTTTGGTAGTCTTGGACATTCACTCTCTGAACTGACCTGTGGTAAATCAGATGCAAACCTGCTCTATCTTCGCAGGAAGGTGAAAATAGCAAAACATTCACATGTGATATCCACGTGGGCTCTAAATCCTTTTTTGAGTTTTTTTTCTGTGAAAAGTCTGAAAGGTTTTCATATTTCTGCCACAGATTAACTCACAGTCTGATCTAGAAAAAATAGGATGTGTTAAAGCTGGATAGAGTGATTGCAGGCAGTTGACAAATTGGCTAGGTACCTAAATAAGTCATTTGAGCAGGCCTGTGGTCAGAGATTATGCTTAAGTCAGTATTAGAGGGCAGGAAAAATAGTGCCAAGCATTGTTGCAGTTAAAAATTAATCACAAAATTATGTCCTTGGCATGAAATTCACAGTTGGTTATAAGGATCAGGGCTCACACAACAAGCACTGCTTAGTGCTTGGCTTGTCATGCCTAGCACTAAGGCTTATTGTGCTTTAGGACTGGGACTAGGGTTTAAATTTAAAAGCAAATATAAAAAATTAAGAAAATGTTCCATTTTCAAGTAAACATGATGGATTAAGCCGCAAGGTTTTTATCAAGACATTTGGTCGCTCCAAAATATCAGTTATGCTTTTGCTTACTTGAGAATGCTAAGCATGTGAGTCATGGGGTATGTGATGCCCACACCAACAGTTCCTACACATATTTTCCAGTTTGATTTCACTGACATCACCAATAATGTTTACAAGCCAAACTTTCCATGACCATTCAACCTGCCTGTTTTGAGTTTGAATGTATGATGAACACAAAATGAGCATTCACTATTCCTTATACATATTTGGCAGCATTGTTGCTAGGCAAGTTTGCACCTGAAGTGCCATGATAAGGGAATAAAAAACCTGAGATGGGGTCATCCCCCAGTGACATGTTTGTTGCTTTGGAAAGACAGCAGGCACCAGCAGTGTTCAATATAGCTTATGATTCAAGCACTCTGCATGTTTTGCAAAAATTGCTCCAAACTCAGGTTTGGTCACTAACCTATAGCACACTTCTATAGGCTTGCACAACCATTTTATAGCACATGCTATTTTGTTTGATTGTCAGACATGCAAAATCAGTAGTTATGTCAACAGATACCCAAGATACCTTTGATAGTTCAGTGTCTTGCAAAACATATGATGACCTTGTTTGAATATTTATTGAGTATCTTGATGCTGTTATACACAAAATGTGATTTCAACCTTTTTTGTGTTTGTTTAACTAGAAAAGGTCCTATGCTGTGCTCCAGAATACAGTTTTCATTTAGCTGTATTCCAAAGCATTGAAGTCAGCATGACCTGGCTGACCTCCAGAGGTGATATTATGCATGAAAGTCCTTAATCAACAAGATATCAACTTTTTCATGGCCTCTTCTTTCACCAATCTTTTCCACCAGTATTATCTATGATAATGCCATGATTTCAATTGCAGCTATGATGATCCCGTGACACCCGGTTTTCTCTGCGGTACTCGCGGCAATGTGTGTCACGGAGAATACCCTCGTGGGAACATGTGCCTTTCCCTCAGGTCACCCGTCTCTGTTACTCAGAAAGTGAGGGCGGCTTCTTGATATTTTGTATTGCGGTTTATGAACGCCCATTCCGCTCTACGTTTTGTAGATATGTGTTGGTACGTAATGTCACAGTTGATTATTTGCAGACAATCATCGAACCATGTAGGTATCGACCTGCCGTCGTAGTCATGAATGGTGTATTATAAGCAACATGTCTTAACGGAACCTCTTAGTCATCTTGAAGTGTTATCAAGATATAGAATGTGGAACAAATGGTAGATGTTTGTGTGCAGAGGTGTAAAAAGCATGTTGATTATTGTTTGTGAAGCGATATGTTTCATACTCTACGAGTAATCATCAGACATTCTAAGTTGTTTTGACATCAGAACATGTCGTGGTTATGTATGTGTACTGCGGGAAAGCTGAGACGCTTTGGGGCAGCGTGATATTACGCACTTAAATGACAAAAATAACAGCATGTGCAGATGTTAAAGCTTTATGCTTTCACGTTTTAAATGGCTGATAAGTTTCTTTCAAGGCCTTCAAAATCATAAATTTTGCGACGATCAGGTCGAGACAGGTCATGTGGCTTTAAGGCGGGAGGTCACGAGATCAGTATTTGTTCGGAATCAAAAACAATATATACAACAGCATGTCTGAACCGCAGAATTTCGAATGATTTATGACAGTTGTATGTTGGTGCCGGCTTAATAAAACTTATAGACCATCAGAATTTGCCACGCATAGCGATCGCCGAAAATTGTAGCTACTTATCTGGGAAACCATCATTCGGTGCGAGCAAAAAATCTCGACGATTAATTCGGACCATTAGATAACCGTATGGATGAGCTGGTATCAAAATTGTGACACCGGGGTGTTGTTTTTGCATTTATGTGGCCGATCTGTGACGGAACGCCCCACATGCAACGTGAATGAAATTTCATCATGGAGTGGGTGAAAGGTGACGAAATGCAAGTTGACCTATGAATATGTGTAAGGTTGTGGGTGTGTTTTGGCGCTGGGTACACGAACTACCTTGCCGGCTTCACCAATCGTCTGTCGTTATATGCGCCGGCTCGACGTGCAGCCGTATCCCAATATCGAGCGGTTTGGCCGTCAGTGGCAGGCGCAGGGCGCCCGCAACCGGGACCCTGCAGATATTTGGTGCTGTTGCTGCGGCACAAACGGCTGGTTACGCCAGCTGCGGCCGAGCAGCAGGGCGGGCGCTGTCCTGATCCGTGATCCAGTGTGGGCTGCGCTGGTGCCGGTTGCGTGGCGTGACCCCAGTCCCGTGCGCTCGGTTTGAGTCGGATCCCTCCGAGCCCACGTGGCATGCGCCAAGCAGGTTTAGAGGTTTTGAATATTCGCTTCAGTATGGTAATTATGTACTGGCTACTCATTCATGGGGTGCAGTGCCGTGTGGGGCGCACGTTCATGAATCTTTTCAACGTTATGGATGTGATTACATGGGATATTTTTTAGGCTGTATGTGGTGTCTAACAAGAACTAGACAGGGTTACCATGTTGGCACACAAATGTCATGGAATTGTGGTGTTGGGTCACCCATACTGCACCTGCACAGGGTTTTTATCGGTGTACCATTCCAGTTCTGTAGGGGGTGCCAGGACTTTGAAGTTTGGTGGGCGTGGTTCGTTGACGAGTATGAGTCAGGGTATTTCCGTCCAGACATGGCATGTTTAATAAGTTGGAAGTCGAGGGCAGCACGTGTTGACATAGACGTGTAAGTGACATTTTTAGCTGAAATGGCTGTGACTGGGCTTAATGTTACGAAGCGTAATATTTGGTCAGTTAGCGACAAGTGCGATGTAAGTGCCCCTTTTTAATGGCCTTTATTTACGAGAATCGGTGTTTGCTGCACTCGCAGTCGATCACACCACTTTAGGTTTGGAGCGAACGGCTGGGATGGGGATTGAGGCAACGGCCTTTGGTTTGAGTCATTAAGTGCGTTACAACATATCCAGTTACCGGAGTCTCCTCGGACCATACTCCTCTGCCGTCCTTATTGGGGCGTGCTCGCGATGTATGCGCAGGGGCGGCGATGGGGATGGGCTGGGGATAAAGATGGCAGCCGCTACCTACCGTTCGATACATTCAGCATTGACTCCACCGCCATGCATGGCAAGAAGCCGCTCAAAGCCCGGTTTTGCCTCCAACAATTACCAAGAAGTTCGGTCTCCACTGCACGCGCGCTTGTCATCTCTCGTGTGCCGCAGCTGCCAGCTGCTGGTGTTTGAGTGTTGGGCAGGCACACGGTATGAAAATCGGTTCCTGGGAATGCCGCTGTGAAATGTCCCATGCTGCAGCGTTGACGGCCGCAGGAGTAGTTCACCTTGCATTGATGGTCTGGGAAACAGCGCCCCTATTTCATAAGTTAGAGTGAAGACTGACATCGAATGACTTACAGCCAAAACAGTATAAAGACGCAGAATGTGATTTTGGACACACAGGAACCATAGACGGTTTCAAATAAACGTGACCATTTCATTTACCTTTGGCATTCTCAGTCCGCACCGACGCGATAAAAGGAGGATACGTGGGAGGCACATGAGTCGCAGTTTTACAGAACGCCAGGTTTACGTGGTAACACGCGGTAATCCTCCCCGATAGTGTGCACGATCCGACCGGTTTCGGAATGTACCCGAATCCTGTGCCCGGCCGGACCGTCGATGCGATGAGCCCACACTGCACAGGCGTGGTGAGCCAGCCCGTTTTGTTGCAGGCCGTGTGATGCTAGTCTGAGCCGGTAGTGGGCCTCCGAGACGCGCGCCGCCATGTCGGCCTGGAGCAGCCCGGGCCTGGTCGAGGACGACCCCTACTTCAATAACATGGACGCGCGCCTCCAGAAGATCGAGAAGCAGCGCCGTCTGATCGAGGAGCGCCAGAAGAAGAAGCGCCAGACGCCGACCGTGCTGCAGCCGTCGGACCGTGCGCAGTCAGCGCGTGGCCGACCCAGCTCGGCGCTCTCCCGACCGGGCACGGCCAACGGCGGCGGCCAGCGCGGCCTGCACGGCCACGACGGCCCCATGCAGTTCACCTCGGAGCGCGACGACCCGGACACGCTGACGGCCGTGGAGGTGACGCCGCTGTCGCGAGCTGGGCCCGGCGAGGACGAGCTCGACCTAGAGAGCGAGGAGATCCTCGGCTCGTCCACGGGCCGCCGCTCGTCCGAACTCGGCCGCCAGCTGCGCACGCTCAACCTGTCTGTGGACGAGTCTGAGGAGGAGGACGGCGAGCAGTCGCTGCCGGTCATCCCGTCGGTGGCCGAGTCGCCGGCGCCGGCTGCCGACAGTCCGCCGGCGCGCCGCCCGGGCAGCGCTGAGTCGGGCACCGCCTGGGGCGACCTGGCCGCGGGCGTCACCACGGCTGACTCGGCCGACAGCCTGGACGACTTCGTGCTGGCGCCGGCCGCGCAGGGCGTGCAGATCAAGTGTCGCATCACGCGCGACCGCAAGGGCATGGACCGCGGCCTCTACCCTACGTACTTCCTCCACCTGGAGAAGGAGGACGGCAAGAAGGTGTTCCTGCTGGCCGGCCGCAAGCGCAAGAAGAGCGCCACCAGCAACTATTTGATCTCCACCGACCCGACCGACCTGTCGCGTGGTGGCGAGGCGTTCGTGGGCAAGCTGCGCTCCAACCTGCTCGGCACCATGTTCACCGTGTACGACAACGGCGTGCCGCCGAACAAGGTGCGCGCCGGAGACGGCTGCGAGGAGCAGCGGCCGCGTCAGGAGCTCACCGCCGTGGTCTACGAGACCAACGTGCTGGGCTTCAAGGGGCCACGCCGGATGACCGTTATTATACCGGCGATGACCACCGACCACAAACGCATCCCCGTGGAGCCGGTCACCGATGCCGAGAGCTTACTGGAGCGGTGGAGGAACAAGCGGACGGACAACCTGCTGGAGCTGCACAACAAGGCGCCCGTGTGGAATGAGGAGACGCAGTCGTACGTGCTCAACTTCCACGGGCGTGTCACACAGGCGTCCGTGAAGAACTTCCAGGTGGTGCACGACAACGATCTCGAGTACATCATCATGCAGTTCGGCCGGGTGGCCGAGGACGTCTTCACCATGGACTTCCGCTACCCCATGTGCGCGCTGCAGGCATTCGCCATCGCGCTGAGCAGCTTCGACGGCAAGCTAGCCTGCGAGTAGGCGACCGAGGCGGCGTGCGACGCCGCACCCACATTCCGAGGGCCGCTGCCGGCTCCGACGAGCGCCGACAGCCGATCTAGTCAACGAGATGATTCACGCCCGGCCAGCTGCCGTGGCAAGCAGAGATAGGCGAATACTCGGGTAATCGAGAACAGTGGTCGTTGTTTTATTCCAGCTCCGTCTGACGATGTGTCACTGGGTTACCAGCTGCTGCGGCGGCACTGTCGAATCCGAATTGTGATGGTCGGCAGCGGATCTATTTATGAGATTATGTCGTCCTCATGACGTGACTCACGTGAGGTAAATCTGGAGCGTGCACTTCGTTTGCGCTAATTTTAACTATACCTGCTGTGGTTGTTTCCGCGTGTGTCTTTTATGACGAAACAACCTATTCGGTAAATCGTTACGGTGTCCTACGAGCACAAACTTGGTCCTGATCAGCGTTACACCCTGCCCTAAATCAAGTCTAGTCATGTGTCCGATTCCGGCGGGGATGACGTCACGCGATGGCCGACTCTGCCGAGCGGCGCCAGTCCGTCCATTTGTTGTTAGCACCCGTGCTGGATGTTATGGCAAATACACAACTCGCAAAGCCATCGGGCCTGTCCGGTATTGATCTGCTGGTCGACCCGTGTGCGGAGGTGGTCAGCACAAGCCTGCCTGGCTGCCGGCGGTGCGGGCCGTCGTCCACGCAGCAACGCCTGAACCGTCCTTGACCTTTGGTTTGGGTGCGCGTGCGTCTGTGTATAGCGACCGGAGCTTGTCAGCCGTGCAAGCTGCCGGTTTGAGAACGTAGCGAAGGGGGGGGGGGGGGGGTATCGCTTGGACATCACGACGCATCGTCAGTAACACCAGTGCGGCTGATCAGTGGCCTAAAACACCGACCCCTCCCCATCCCCGCCCCCGCCCTGGCGGCGATCATGATGCTGCGTCGACCTGGCTGGGCCGTGTGCCGTTCCGGGCGGCCGGTGGGGCTTCCCGCGGTCGGCGTCCGCTGGCTGTCGCCGCCTCGACCGCTGAGTCGCCGCCCGCTGCAGCAGTGCTGTCAGTTCACGCTGTATTGATCCCGGCGCCGAGTGAAGCTACCGCGAGGCGGCGGCACTGCACGTTCGCTGACACTGTTCTGCACCTGCGTCCGCAGACGCCGGTGCAGAACATGGCTGCGACTGACGCACGTGACGCAGCCAGCGGCGATGCTGGGGCGGTTGCTGACTGAGGAAAGGTCACACAAGGAGCGGTGACCTCAGTCACGGTCATGGGCACGCCAAATGGGTCCTCGAGACGTGTAGGGAGACATTCATATCCGGCTCAGAGTTCCGCTGGACGCTAACCCACAGACGACGGAGGCCTGGGACGGTGGGTTCAAGGTAGGGGCGGCGCCACGGATTTTGAGTTTGGGAGAGTATAATTTTCAAGCGGATGCAACTTTTCGATCCAAAAAAATTGCATGCCGAAAATTTTAAAATCCAGGATAGGGGCTTTTCAGCCATGCACAAAATGGTCTCGGCAACCTAAAACAGGGCCTACTGATGCATGGAGGTGCTCCGTAATCCAGAACAAGGACGTTTCATATCCACAAAGGGGCCTCCAAATCTAGCCGAAGGGCCTCGTTATCTCAAAACAGGGCATCCTAATCCGGAACCGCCGCCATTTCAATGCATGAAAGGGGCCTTCTGTTCCAGAAATGGGGCCAACTAAATATAGCATGCCCCCCCCCCCCCCTTACCCAGAACAAGTTCTAATTTGTGAGATGCCTCCCGAGCCAGCAAAAAGGATCCCCTCAACACAACGTTGGACGTCCTGATCTAGAGCATGGGCTACCTCATTCGTAAAGGTTTTAGCTCAATTATGGGAGTCTCTTTTATCTGAATTTTGACAATCAGCAGGTAGTTGCAGTGCATTTGATTTGGGAAAAGTGGGCAAAGATGAAAAAGATTCTGATTTACCGGATATGATCGGTAACAAAAATGGACACTTTCGCGAGCCAACTGGTGGCAAAGTTGCGAATATGATAACAAATTACAAGAGACCAGGCCATATTACAACAGACCATCTCAGCTAGACGAAACTTGAGGCTTGGTGTTGGTCTGTACTCGCTAACGCTTGCAGCGTATGTCTAGAGCACGTGACGAAACGCTGTTTCGCTGTATTAGCAAGTTGAGCCACAAGATGCTGCCAAACATAGTAGCTTTAATCAGGATAATTTTGGCAGGTGACAGAGATATTCTACAAATTATACCAGTGCCAACTTGACAGATCAGTGGTGAAAATGTGTTTCCAGAGCCCCATACATCAATGCTTTTCACATATTTTTTTCAGCCGAGAACCATTTCACATTGTAAACAGCGTGAAATAGCGAATAACTAGGCCTTTTACTAGTCGCAAAAATCGTGGCTGACCGCAGGATCTTGCGGCGAACGTGATCGACTTGCTAAACGACCTTTTAAAGCGTCGTGCCATTTGGGACAAATGGGCCCGAATGCTCGTCACGCGGCGATGACTTGGGTTCAGTGCAAGGCTGTGGGCTGCTGTTGGTTGTGTTTATGTTGTGAGAACCTGACTGGCGAGAAGATGTAGCTAATGGCCGGCTTTTTTGGGTGCTGTGCGGCTTTTCTAAGGATCTTCCATGGAAAGTGCCCCTAGTAATAGCGTTAAAAAGCTTTGCCGATCTAGGCGGATTGTTGTTTGCGGATGCCCGAGCTGAAGCTTCTGGGGTAAACGGAGGACATTGGAGCGACACAGGTCAATGATTCATCTGAGGCTTCCTGCTGCTGAGAGGAACAGCGGTTTTGGGGTAAGAGGACGAGCGTCGCTGGCGCAGGCCTCCAATGCTGCCCGCCGCACTGCAGATTTAATAAACTTCCCGGTCGACAGGAGTGAGATAAAACGCCTTTATTGTCAATGTATTGAATGTAATGCTAAATGAAAGTAATAAAGATTATCACAATTGTTTTGTGTTTCTGCCGACGCCAGTATTGCATCGGGTTCGTACCAAATTTCGTTGACTGAGGCCGCGTCAGCAAGTGCGAGTTCTGCACCGATGATAAAACGAAGATAGTGAAGGTCGCCAACGCTTCCAGCTAGTCGTGCAATGACGCTACCTAACCAAAAGCGGTATTATTTTCAGGTGCTTGCAGAACCATGATAATCGGTAGATATAGAGAAGCAGTTCTGCAAATTACTTAATGATGAGAGAGCGGGCGGCTCAAGGGGATAACAGGCTGAGCCTACTTCCAGAATGTAATTTAACCAACTTTCCCCAGACTAAACCCACTTTCATTTCAGAGTTGGCAGTAGAGTGTGATCTACCGTACAACGGTAGAATCCAATACATTAATTTCTGGCCATTTTCCCTGGTTACGTCTACTGACGCCTGATCCGTCTACTCACGCTGAATTCGGTTATTTCAACTATTGGTTTAAATATCCGAATTCAGCATGAGCATACGAGTCAGATGACATAAAAAACGCAAAGTGGCCAGAAATGAAGATATGGGGTTTTACCTTTGACAGCAGTGACAGTGTGCCGTCGAATTATGGAGAATATCGTTGAGCTCTATATGTGACAGTCTGCTGTCGAATTATCGAGACTTCTCTCGGGCCATATGTATTTGCACACGTACATGTGGCGTCTTACAGAGACTCAACGCGCACAATCCCCCCGAAAGTGGCACACTTCTGCAGACAAACAGTATTCAACGTCTGCTCTAAACAAGTTCCCTTGCTCTAAATAAGTTGTTACTGCCATTAATTTACAGCCATCACGTCACATGGGTTGCAGTTTCTGAAATTTAGTTTTTTTTTGGGGGGGGGCGAACCTAAATATTATGACTATTGAAAAGTAAGTTGCCAGTTAGCAGAAAAAGGCTTCAACTCAGTGATACTGTGATCTAGCTAACATGAAACCTCACATTACAATACCAATTTCCAGATCCCCATGTTTCACATGACTCACTCTGTTGTCATGGCAGCTGCTGACATGGTCAAGTGACATTTCACCAAGGGCACTTCCATGCCGGTGCGACCTTGCAGCACTGGTGGGGTTCTTCTCCCCCTTTAATCCTAAAGAACAGAACAATCATAGTATGTCTAAAGACACAACCGTGACAGGTATGGACTTGGGCGCATGAAAACACAACATTGTTGCTGCCACAAATGTGGGCACACTAAGGCTCGCCGACCTCTAACATATTCTTTGTTAAAACGGTACACGGGTGGATGAACATGAAAGGTTCGCTATAATATTTAGCCTGTACAGCGAGAACGAGAACAGTGACTATTGAAGCCAATGATGGAACACCATAACAAGATAGAGAGGATGTAGGTGCCACTCGACCATAGCTTCGTACAGGACATTATCCTGAAGTGTTTGGGAGGACGCACCGTGCGATTTGGTCTGGGGGCTGGGTTTTGTGTGCTGGGGACAATGGAAGCCGAAGGCGGCGCAGGGTCAGCTGTGGGCTCTGTGGGCGGTGGAAGTTTGCTACGACTATCGAGACGACATATCTCAAGTCCTGGAAGAGGTGACCTAATTTCGATTGTGACGCAATCTTCATCAGACGAGTCACTGAAATTGACATCTACATGGTGGTTTCAGGGGACGGGTACCTCACAGGGGATGCGGTAGCATTCACCTGGGCGGATCTGGTAGGTTTTGGAGCTCAACTGTGAGTCAGTGAATTTGCGTACTGAACACCTGCCATCAGATACAGAGGTTACCATGTAACGGCCTTGCGGCCGGGTTTTGTCTTTGTCCTGGGTCAGGTGCACTAGGTTGCCGACGCGCACGGCAGCTGGTGATAGGAGACTACACAGCAAAGTCATGCCTGAGATATGACTTTGATGTGTAGTCATGTCGATGGCTTTCTTATCTAGACGCGTGCTGGTCAGCTATCAGCTTCTGGTCATCGGCGTGTAGTGCAGCCTTGGTGCACTTGTCGCGAGAGAAAAAAAAAACATTTCGCGAATCGACATACTGCTTTTGCGTTAAAGATAATCGAGACGGGAAGTCACCATTGCCAAAGTCGCTGTGGCAATGGTTCCTCCCTTGGAATTCGCCACTTTGAGCTCGTGTCTGAGTTCGCCAACCGCATGCTCAGCAACAGGGTTTTTGTCGGGATTTTTGGCCTATCCTATTTCCAATTGCATTCCAACTCGGCGCAGCGACTCGCTGGAACGCCGGCGGACAAAGTCGGGAGCTGGGTCGACGCGGATGGTCACGATAAGATCGTCGGGCAGCTTCATACATAAACTGAGCAGGATCAGGGCCGCTTCCACGGACTCAGCTGTCTAGTCCCGGGTAACACAGGTCGTCGTGAAACCACTGACAGTCTCACGTAGCAGTATAATTTTCTGTCGATGGTAATGCATCAACTCTGCGGAGTAACTAGTGCCCACGACTGAAGGAATGGAGGTGCTCGATTCAACAATACTCGGGGTAGTTTGCGAAGCGAAGTGCAGGTTTGGCACAAATCATACAGCGAACTGAGGTGAATGTCTAAGTCCAGTGCTAGAAGTAGCGTGCGAATGTCTATTTCAGCTGACACTGAGTGAGATGAACTATTTTCAGGCGTACGGCAGTGAAAAGCCCGGGAACGGCTGACCGTGGGGTGAGCATGCGCTCGCCGGAAGGTGTGAATGGTTCAGAATGTTTTACTGCAAGTAGGTCGTCTTTGGCGATAGAGGCCACCTGCAGGTAACGCTTAACATCCCGAAGTTTGGTCTGCTCTTTGGACGGCCGGGTGCTCTGAGCAAGGTGGGGTTTAGTGCGGTGAAGATTAGCACACTCGTGCTGGGTGTCATGCCGTTCGCTGTGGCTAGTGAACGGCATGCGGAGAGAGCCATTCAGGACGTCCTGCGCGGCGATCTGGCGAACGGAGGCCTCCTCCAGTGAGGAAATAAGGTGGTCGTCAACTAAGGAGGCTATCATCATCGAAGACCGGTAGGCGTTTATGAAGGTGCCCTGGGCGTTCGCCGGCACATTGCAAGATGCTGGTCACGTCAGTGAAGTAAGCGCCGGAGTTTTGGAAGCCGTCGTGCAGGCGGATGCTCTGCCAAATCTCGCCAAGGGATGTCGATAGCTTGGTTATGCTATTGCGCGATATAACCGGACAGAAGTTGGCAATTTGTCCAAGCATGAGATCCAGTGTCACCGACTTTTGGACTGCGTAGTGACGATTTGCGGAAGGGGTGTCAGCGCTGTCTTCTGCTTATCCGCATTGTTTGGATGTTGGTAACAAAGTGTGTCATCCTGCTGTACCAGCTGGTGTTTTGATGATCGGAAATGCGGATTTACACTGGGCGGGGGGGGGGGGGGGCGATTTTCTGCCTTTCGTAAGCTAAAAAAGGTACAGCTTCGCGAAAAACAGAACTGCCTAAGAAGATATCGCGATTGGTTAAAAGTCTTGAGGAAAATCAAACTACTTCAGCGTTGCATATTCATATGAACAAAACCATGAAGCGTAGAGACATGGGACGTAAAGGACGCGTATTTCTTGTTTGATTATAAGTACAATGCTATGCAGTTTTATTTGTTTTGAGCCTGTATTTGTAATGTAGGACTTCGTTAAGACAACAGTGATGCGGTCCGCGTGCGGTCCGCAGAATCATTGTCCGCCGCCCGGTCCCCCCCCCGTGCTGGCCTTGGATTGTCTTGCAGTGTTCGTAAAAAACATCGCTACTCCGAAGCTAGAAGTGCAAGGGACACATTTTGGTGTTAGCACACCTACATTGGATGCCCCAGGGGTTGCCAAAGATTTGAGCGAGACTGCACAATATGCCAGACTGGTATCCCCAGAAATCCTTAGGGCGGGGGGCGTCGCACCACCCCCTCCCCCTCCGTCAGGGCGACTATGTTGTTCGGAAAGAACTAGCAGCATGATAATAAGTTATTCCAACACATGTGGCGTCAGGCTTGGGGCATGCCTAAGGTATGGCGGATAGTTTGACGACGGCTGAGATGAGGCTCGAAGGGCACACGTGATTTTCATAAGCGGACATGGCCTCGAGGAGGTCTACATATTGGACGTCATCTCCAGTGCTGCCTGGCTTTGGCTCGAACTCTGCCATGTATTCTGCTGCCCCGACTATCGAGGTCCTTTGCTGTCGTTTTTTCGCGGTCGAGGAGTGTGAAGCCAGCCGTAGATTGCGTTTAAAAGTGAGGCCCCGGCCAGTTCCGCGGGTAGAAGAAGACTACTGTTGTGATTTGGTTATCCTACAGTCTAGGGCAAGTGCGACTGCTTTTCCAGCAGCAGCAGTTATCCCAACATCAGTCGAAGGACGTTGTAAAATGGAACGTTCTGATTGTATGCATGATGTGGAAAATTGCGGTGATGAAAGAGATTTTCAGCGATATGCTGACTCCGGATGACGCTACTGGGCATGGACTTCATTGCCATTTTATGTCATGTCATTGCATTACGCTGCTGGCGACAATTTTGCCTCTAGAAATTCGATTGGCGACAACAAGGACACTTTGACCATCCCTGGATGATGCTAAGGTGTTTGGTTTTGCTCTGGGACCCCTTGCCGTTTTTTCTCCAGGTTGATCTCGATGACCTGATCAAATAGTCAGAGGGGGATTGCTTTCTTTCAACGCATCCAAGTATGAAGAAACGCGCATCACCACTTGTGACCTACAACTGACCTTTTTGAACGACACCGAAATCGCAGACGAGCCCAATGAAAAGTACTTTGGAATCTGCGTGAACCCCATGCCCAAGTTCCACATGCAGGCGGCGGAGGCGGACTGTAAGGCCAGCCAGATGTTGCCGGACGGAGACTGCAATTCCCTAACCTTGTCATTTTTGCCCTGCCATTGCTGGACAGGATTATGGCACGCCCGTTTTGGCGCGACTTTTTGAGGGTATGTCATCATCAACTGGAACCAGTTCGGCGAGCTGGATCAGAAGCAACCGGAGTGGGCTCAATGATGAGCTGCGCGTTTTGTCCAAGAAATAAGACACCAGCCATTTAATGAGAGTCTTCGGCTCCTCCAACTGCCTTCGCTGTATTACTGCCATCTTAGGAGAAACATGGTTTTAGTGTTCCAGATGTTACACGCAGGCATATCTTTGCCGGCGGGCGAGTTAATAACAAGACACAACTCGGATGGAACAAGAGGACACAGATGGAATCTGACGAATCCTCAAGCCAGTACCTTCGTCCATCGGCCAGTACCTTCCTTCTTCGCCCGAGCCTAGCCAAATCCCTCTCACCTTCTGCACCAAGATTTGCGGAAAATCATATTACAGACCCAGCTGGGCGTAAGCTGGATTCTACTGGACAGTACCACAGCTTAATTTGCATTAAACAAGAAAATGGGCCCAAACAGACCCAGGGCACACTGTGTTGCTATGGTAATCTGCCTAGCGGGGCCACGGTTAATTGCTGTCTAGGTGTGCAATGTGTGCTCCCTGCCGGCGGCTTAACGATCCATTTGTTTCAGCTGTTTTACCCCGTAGATCACTGACATGACCTTCCGACCACCCACTCGTCGTTCCCCTCACGCCGGTGGGCCTTCAGGCGTCAAATCCAGAGAACCCTCGATCATCGTTTCACATCGTCCTAAGCTGCCGCCATGACAGCTACTGCCTTACCGTTAGCCTTGCCGTTACCGTTACGTTACCACGATTCTGCCCTGTGATTGGAATACGAGAGGAAAAGTTAAATAACTCAAAGCCTGTTCTGGCGCGGTGCTAAAACTTTAAGAATATTGGGTTGCTCATGCTAAGTTTGTTGTCATTTGTAGTCGTTGTCACTGTCAACATCTTTTTAGGCACAATCTTTCCACGCAACGCTAGAGACCGCAAGCTAAATTTCTGAAATGCTTGACTACGCTGGGCGTAAGGTGTATTTTTGGCGGTTCAACTCATGACATAAGAGACACGTGTCCTTTCGCCCTCCCCCTCTCCCTCGAGCGCGGCATTGCGCACTTGGCGAGTGGAGAACGGGTCTCGTGTAACTGAAAACTCAAGTAATGTGGGAGAGCCTGCCAGAGAGCATTCCAGTGACGTCACGATGTGACATTCAACAACGTGTGCAAATCACATACCACTCGTCGCCGTCATTTGTACCAACTTGGGGCTGGCGCCAATTTGTGAACAAGTGATGTTGTTTTGGTGCGTGTGGCCCGCGGTATGTATATATGATTTTCATTGCGCAACTTGTAACAAGGTCGTATGCTTGCAGATGTAGGGGCTTGGCTTGTATAAAGGCTGTATTCAGGTGCGTGACCGGAAGGTGCAA